CAGACGTCAGCGACACATGGACCGTAAACATCAGGCGGCCAATCAAAGCCAATAAACAAGCACGGCACCAATAATATAAGGAGAAATATTACGTGCCCTTGTTAATGTACTCTGAAGACGGACCGAGTTTGGTCCAAAACGTCAGATGTCTCTAACTAAAGAACATTTTATGCGTGGTCTTCCCGTTTGTGACTTACCAAGGGATTATATCATCTCCCGCATGTTTATATATATATATATAGATTTGGGATTATGATTTGGGATGATAGATATCTGCTGATAATAAAGCCGAGGGGAAACTCATTGAGGAGTTTCCAAAAATCAATACTGATGAAAATTTAAAAACCGAACAAATATGTAATGCCGATAAAGCGTCATTGTTTTCGTGTTACCCTCCTCAGAAGACAATGATTACTGAAAACTAATGAGACAGCTCTAACAGTAATAAGGATGCCTAGGACTGATTAGCTATTTTGGGATGCACTAACGCCGCACGCACGCCTAAATTACTGTAGTAGGCAAGAACTTGGGTGCTCGTTGTTTTAAAGTAATGAATGTTTTACCAGTTCATTATTATGCTAAAAAAATGCCTCGGTCACAAGGAACATCTTTTTTGATTAGTTTTTTCAGAAATTTTGTGCCAGCCGATTGTGGTCATTGCATGAAAGCGGGACTGGATGACGACTGCAAAATTTTATTACCTCTTGACAACGGTTATGCTTATCCTTCAGCTGCATTGCTCGTCAAAAATAATGTCTATGCGCTGTACTTTCCTTCCAACATATATCATTAATTGAGTCGTGTTACCAAGACATACGTAGATCTCTGAAGTGTAAATATAAAAATTTATTCTTGAAAAGCATGCAGCGGCAGTCAACAGAGACATGGGGGTCAAAGGCTTTCAGGAGCTTACCTTGAAAGATGCCGTTAATGCTGTTTCTGACGCTTGTAACGCAGTGACTAAAGATGCAGTTGTGCATGCATAGTATAGCCTCTGGCCTAGAACTATGCTTAGTGATAATGATAGAGAAACTGATGATTTTCAGAACACCATGATATATTATCTCCTCTCACATGTAAAAAAGATTCCTTCAGAGATTGTCAATAAATTAGAAAAGATGTATATCGAAAAATTTTTTTACATCGATTATGATACTCATGCAATTACTGACGGTGAAATAGATGAAATGGTTTTAAATCAAGGAGATCCTGGAGATAGTGATGATGAAGGTGAAATTGTAAAAACTGCAGTAAAATGTCTATAAGCGACATGGTAATAATATCTGGTGAACTCGTTGAAGGACTGGTGCAGTGTGAATTTATTACAGGACAAGAAATAAAGTCAATATATATACAAGACACACTTTTGAAGCAGAAACTTCGGTATTGAGGCATGTGGCACTACAGGATATAATGAAAAAGAGCCATCCAATACGACGTTCTCTTTTTATCGCTGGAGAATTCAGCTCTTGGTCCACAAACCTCATTAGATGTTCTTTCTCAAGTTGGTAAATAAATATACTTCTGTTCATATTTTATGTTCCTTGTTTGTAGCATTCATAATTTTTGTCAAATGAAGAGTATTTTTTCTGAATTTTCTTCAACTCCACCATATTGTTTCTTCTAAAATCCGGAAAAATCCAAAATCTGAGACAATCTTGGTCCTAGTCATTTCGGATACTCAAACTTTACGGATCCCAGACCCCGGTTCACTTCATCGTTAGCCACTACCATTTCGAGATGCTTACAATGGTACACTTCGTCCGTCGTAATACCATACGTAGCATTTCGAGTTGACGGTCGCAGAGAGCCCCGTAATCTTCGTCGTTTTGACGTTGACTTGTAACCCCTTACTTTGCGTACCCTTACCTTAGGTGATTGTTAGTAAACCATTTGTGGAATCGCTTAGCAACACGATGTCATTGTCGGCTCAAGGAATACTACTGGGAAATTCGGCGTAATAACTTGTATCATCATTGGTGTAAACAGCAGCCTTTATGACATCCAACCGCAACTGGTTGTAATTTATAATCTTATAAGCAGGTATTTAGTTCAATTTTTAGCTAAACTATGGCGCGTAATATTTTACAGGGTTTAAATTATATTTTTCAATTCCGCTCAGTTATTGGGGTCAGCTTCCAATTCCTTCAGCAGGCGAATGCCATCAACAGAGCAACAGTATTCGGCAGCAATTGTTAAAGTAGGGCGTCGCTCAAGGACGGATTACATTTAAACTATATTTCTCATCAGGCGTCGTATAAATGGCTTGCCTTCTCTGAACTTAGTATATGTCTACTTGCTAGAAAATATTAACTTTGGATCAGTCGGAATGTTGGAAATATCTACTAATCGACGTAGACAGAAAGAAATTTGGATTTGTCCAAAAATATAGTTTTCCCTGCTGTTGTGGAGAGAAACGTAGCTAATGCCCATTTTGCCTTCTGAGCTACGCGGTGAATCCACACTGTTTTCGTCTTCTAACGATATGAGACATCCATTAAGCAAGCAGCGGCTCAATGGTATTATGCCACCTGTTAAACACAGGTACATCGTTTCTTTTGAAGCATCAGCATCTATACCTCTGGCAGTCTTTCTATAAAACCGTTTAGTGTTTTAGAACTGTAGTTGGTCTACATTTGGGTATGTTTAAACAAGCCATGCCATTTGAGCGTCTGCAGTACATGGATGCCAAACGCGTAACAATGTCATATGGACCAATATCCATGCTTTTGAGCTAATCCTTGTTGTTAGATTACACAAGTCATGCTGGCCCCTAGGTATTTCAAATCAAAGAGGATATTTATATGCGTATACATACTTTGTTCAATGTTGCCACTTATATTCATGATAAGTTTAAATGATGAAGACGACGAGGTGCAACTGCCCATGCAGTCAGAATACTCGAAACCTAAATTTTTCGTTATGAACATTGATGACATTCAAGTAGAATTTTCAAACTTGCCTTTAGCACATTAATTATGGCCCTGTTGTGTGTCTGTCCTTGTACTTTAAACAGCGCCATCGATCAATGCGTGATCCCGGATGGTAAAGTATGGATGCGAAACATGGAACCTAACATTTAGAGCTGTTCGCTAATTGCAGACTACACATCGTAGCATAGTACGATGTACATTGAGAATAACAGGAAGAAATAAGAAGAACAGACTAATGAGCAATGCATAGGTAGATACATGCGAGAGTTGAGAAGTTAACATGGCAAGAGACAGAGCAGTTGTACGAATAACTGATCATTACTGGACCAGAGAGTAAATAAACTGGAATCAAGGAGAGAGTAATCCGCAAGAAGATGTATTAGCCAGATTGATGGCAAGATGAGTAGAAGAAGTTCCCTGAATCAAGATGGATGGAAATTGCAGGAAATGGAAGCTTCCAGTAAAGTGTTTGAGAGGCGTTCGAAAACAGATGGCAATAATAACATTGAAAACACGCATTTTGAGTCAGGTACACGATTTCTTTAAACTTACTATGGCCCAAAGGCAAGCAATTGCAAAGATAAATTACTTTACAATTATTGTAGTTTGCTTCAAGGAGCCAAGTGCCATCTCAATACTTCATACAGCACGTTCGAATTGCTAGATAGATTGAACATATTCTAAATCAATATTCAATCCTGAGACCTCTCCAGCTAGCACCCTCGCAAAATACATAGTTTTCTAGTTTCAGGTGCATCTTCCAGTATCAACAGAAGTTTGACCGACTTGGGGATACATCGCACTGGACGACGGATGAGTACGAATTTGTTGTAGGTAAAGGTTACCGTTCAAGCCTTGTTTCGATTTCAGCTGGTGGACCTTCGAAGCAACCGCGAACCATACCGATCAGGAACGTACCAAATCAGCCGGAGATAATTCCATTGCTTCCGTACGATTTTGGAGCAGAGCCGTCTTCCCCGGCCAGAGAAAATGCGCCTCCTCGCCATAGCAAGAAAAGCACTGCTTCAGTGCAAATAACAAAACCGAGGAAATCTTCTTCAAGGGGAAAACTCACGATTATCCCTAAGAGTTCTTCTAGTAAGCTGTTATTTTTAGATTAAGCAAATTTGGTTTGAATAATAGCAACTAGGTCATGTCTTCCATCAGAGTATATTCCCATATTTGACAAATGTAATCGGAGGCTATTTCTATGTATTTTCTACTATCCTGTGTCAACATCAGTCAATTCTTCTGTCAATCTGTCCATTATTTTATTTGGGATATGTGTCATAACGAAGAGGTTGAAATATGGCCTAGAAATTGGCTTAAATGTAGGCCAGTGCTTGAATTGTGATGACCGTTAATGAAGTTGTAATCGTTCCCCAATTAACTAGCGTCTTGCCTAGTTTGAGATTATCCCAGATTTTGTGCATGTGTCACAGTAAGATTGCTGCAGCACAGATAAAATATCATATGCAGAAGTAATTTTTATCGATATGTTTCATTGATACGGATCTCGCATTCATTTAAGGAAGTGTTTTACCATACTTTTATAATTTAAAACTTTACCTATCTCCGTTTTAAATCTTGGCTCAGACGCTTCATGCATCAATCCTATGACTACATGCCAAAGCATGGCCACAATGCCTAAACCTTCAGCTTGGTTGTAAGAGAAAGGTGCGGAACGTGGTGTTTTCTGTAACTGATTTAATAATCCTGAAATTCTTGTCAAACTCGTAGCACCAGAAAAATTGCAGCTAATCTTAGAGACTGCAAAAATATTAACAGATCATATGTATAGCTCAATTTAATCGATTATCCATATATTTATCAAGATTTAGTTTGTGCAGCCTAGGTTCACGCTGGGTCATAGCAGATAGCGTTGTAAAGACGACGGTTTATTGATCTGCACTGAACTCTGACTCACTTTCAATCTGTAGTACCGGTATAGAGTGAATTTCGCCTCCGTATGCGGTAAGCCGAACAACAGACCCGTCGTGACATAGCTAAAATTGTTAAGCTGGCATATGTCACCCTTACAAAGAGAACAGTTTGTTTCTTATATGGAACTGATATCGAACTTATATGAGATAAACGTGTTATAAACTTAGCAACGCAATACTTTTGCCATAAATGTATGGCAAACTACTTTCCATTCGTGCCTGACGTCTTTGTTTAGGTTTTGTACTTAGTGATGTTACGAACGGTGTCCAAGCGGCAGGGAGCATATGCAAAATTCAGATGATGGAGGGTCGCCTTAACGACATAGAAGCGTAAGTGACGTACGCCGTTGATAGCTGTGCGTGTTGTGATATGCTTTTTTGTGTTATGCAGACGGTTAGGAAGAATCGAGAACAAGCTGAATACGGACATGGAAAAGCTGTTCAATGCCTTAGCGACGATCAATCGAAATATGCGCGAAAGTGGGAGATCTCGGGACAATCACACGGCTCAGGTGAACGGGGGCAGCGATTTCAGCGAGGAGGAACGCGGCGCTTCCTCAAACCACTCTCAGCAATCGGCGGTCGGCAACAGAAGATTCGTGCACTGCAACAGTATGGCGTTGCCGCAGACTAATGTGGTAATTATTCACGTGTAGCAACGCGTCTTTTCTGACTATAAGCATGACTCGTCGCGATCGCCTGTACCGGTCAAAACACGTGTCTCCCGCAAGGGGTTACTGTACGGCCAGCTGGAGGTATTCTCGTTAGCCGTTGTGGTATAGGCGAGTCTTGACATGAGTTGCAAAACCGGTCGTCAAGCAAACAACTGCTAATCAACAACTGTTCACCGGATTGAGTACTAAAATCTCGAATGTACATGTAACACACAGTGCCTGCCGTAGCAGCCATGAACATCCATCATGAGCCATTAAGTGACTGGTTAACGTAACAACCATTGCGTGATATGATTAGAATTCCTATTCTGTCACTAATCATTAATCACTGATATTCATCCGGAACGTGGTTCTTTCTTCTTTCAACATTAACATACATGCAGCAACAGCAAACTAACAAAATCATTGGAAAATTGAATATGTGTTTCCTGCGTTAGTGGCCGAACTGAAAACAACGTAAAACACGGTTTACTTATGCCCGAATGAATGAACGTTTTCGCCCCTGTCGCCGGTAAATATTTTATCCAGCAGCGCGGATTAAAAGCTTGAGTTCTGGCCAAATGTGTAACCGCTACGAGTATCACAGCGACTTCTGACCTCAGTGAAACTCTTTCCTCGAGAAGGACCCCGTGAGACACGAACCGAAACGTCGGAACTGATCAGTCATCCAATTTACCGTATTGTTAGCGTTGTGTAGAAATAAACCGCTTTTTACGCTGTTTTTCAAAATAGCGGTAATATGAATATCTATGTTAAGCAAAACTGGATATTTTAGTGCACTGGCATTCACTTCCGTATGAGCTCCGTGATATACTGCCGATTTCATGAGCAATTCTGTTTTTGTCGCTTGGATTTTGAATTCACAACAACAGCAGCAGACTCCAGTAGCAATCTGTTGAAGAGGCAAGGTGGTACCCGCAGCATCCATTCAGCAGCGAAAGATAGAAAGTTGGCCTGTACGTCAGATTTAGACATAAGACTGTGCTGCATCCTGCGGAACCGGCGATTTAAGTGTGTCTGTGCAGAGACGATACTTTCTGCTAATATTTCAAAATAAGCTTGAAGAACTCAGCTGGGAATTATCATCATACCACCTTGTAAACCTTCAGGGCAAATCCAAATGGATTCCAATGATGCTTAAGCGGTGAGGCAAAGTTATTCGTACTTCGTTGATGATATAAAGCAGGTAAACGGACCCTGTCAGCCTGTCTTCAAGACCTCATTTGGGTATTTTGCATTATTGTCCCGGTATCTGGACCAGTTGAATTGCTTCGCTGGCAAAGCCTCCTTGAAAACATGTTTGCCAAACAGACTGATCTTATTACCGCTCATGTTCCATCTTCCTCCAAAACAACAAAGGATGACTCGTTGCATATTGGCGCGTCTCAAACATTTCAATCTCGTGTTCATTTGTACAAAATCTTGCCATAATTTTGGAGTTCTTCGTGGCGGCCGGGTTTCCCCCCCCCCCCTTTCAACCTTAGGCTTTGCGTTCACCATTCACTACGAAAGCAGCTCTTTTCCATTCGATGATTGATCATCTTAAACGCCTTGTTTACGGATAATGGGGCACGCCAGCCGGATATCCTATTCTCATTCTTGCGCAGCAGTTGACATCGCCTTGTACACGCCAGTATTGGTCATGAACTCTTCTTTCTCGTCGCTCCTGAGTTTATATTATCAATTTTGTTGAGTGTGTTATATCCGACCAAAGAGCAGAACATTCAGAATGCATACTCTATATGTGATTGAAACATGTTAGGTTGTCATTATTATCACACTTGGGTATTAGCCAGCATCTGGACCAGTTGAGGTTCCAGAGTTCCGGTTCCTCTCTGGTGATTTCTGCAAAATATGCCTGTACGAGAATACTGTTTCGGCCGCAGCGGAAGCAACGAATACTTTGTGCCTCTTGTTGCGCACCTCATAGGAAGTCGCAATGCTGCATTGGTATCCTATAGAGCTCTTTATGACCTGCCTTGACAATAAAATTAGTAACAAATGATACCTGCGTGATTTTTTGGCTGTAATTCTTACTTTTGCCAAATGGCATTTGCATATAGCATATACTTCCCTGAAGTATTTTATATTTCTATACTTATTATCTACGCTCTATTATGGGTTAACTCTTTGTTGTTCTTAAAAATTATCATCGTCGTTTTGGTAGTGGCCTTAATTGGTAAAATCGATGTTGAACGCTTTAGAGCAACTTCGGAAGCGCGGGAAAGACGGCGAGCTTCAAAAAGTCCAAACAGCATTCATTCCCTGAATACGGTACCCAAGGACCGTGTTCGACCCGAAAGGCGTTTGATGAGTTGTCAACGCGATCCGACGTGCATAAATCGTCATTCTCGATGTCGGACTGCATGCGTCCTTGACCGAAGCTACTATTGATGGATCACGTGGTCAGATTCAGCGTTCTAAAGCCTCTGGCTGACCGTTTGCCCTTTCTGAAGTTATGAATGAAGTTATGAATTTTACCATTGCCCCTCTCACTTCTCGCGTTTCATGTTGGCCGACGGAGTGAGGAGATTTTCGTCGTCAAAGACCGCAGTGAACGCTTTCGACCGTTTACTTTATAACAAAGCCACGTGCACCATCGCCGTTGCGGCATCAGCGCTTTCCAGCATC